TCACGAGGCATAAATGACTTCAATATTTTATCTATCTTGATTTTTCACCTGTCATTTCATATTCTCCATACATTAGTTTGTTTCTTGTGGGATACAAGCCTGCGATGAATGTGTATATAGACCATTAATAATTCCTATAAGGATGGAAATTAAGTGCTTGCATGATGGAAACTTAGAAGAAAACAAAGCCGAAACTTGAATTTATTAAGCATGTTTGGGGAAACATAGAATCTTAACTCAGTGCCTCTGTCTGCAATGTGGAAATCTTCAACTTTGTTCACCAAAATTGTATTATACTTGTATATATATAAATATAGTATAGTGAATCAGACACCACCAGTTTTAAGTCTCTGGTAGCCAAATTAAAAAGAATAATCCATAGAAGAATGCATATGTTCACCCCATCTTTATCTCCATCATTAGTGAAGACCATCAAAATTGCCATAAATATTGCTTTGGATGGATTTCAAATAATGAAATGGTCCTGTGCTTTTCGTTGGCTGTAACACAGCATTGCAGCTTTGGCTGTGCTGTCCCAGGATGAGAAGGTGTCCGTGTTTTTACTGCACAGACTTTATCTGAGGTGAGCTCTGAAGACCACCGCATTTTCCTACTGTCAGGCAGAAATCAAAGCAGAGGAAAAGCGTAACAACAAAGGAGCCTGTGACATCTTTCAGTTCCCAGCGTAATAATGGATATAAAGAGCTCCCTGGTGAACTAAGTTATAAACCCTTCTGCTCTGGGTTTGCATCTGTGTGTGGGGAAAATGGTTTTAATCTGAGAGGATTTATTACCCATGTTTTGGGTTGTGAAAATAAATCTGTAAGGGGCGCAGTTGTGGGCATAGAGTGAACGCAGACACTTAAAAAAAACACGAGACCTCCAAACGCAAATATGTGGTTCTCTTTCAAGACGCTTTCCTCAACAATGACCTAAGAGAAAAGATTCTGACACTTCTCAGGAAGTCATTTTTCCGTGAAAATTTCAAGACTACTGAATTTATGTGTGTTTTCCAATTTTACTTACCTTAGCATCTCTTCATGGCTCAGAAACAAGGTCCCTGGCTGGCTTCAGTCATTAGGAATTTTACTTGTTACAAGGGCCAGAGTATCATTTAGTCACATAGAATGTGTACTCAGATAACCCAATAGAGAAGAATTGTCTGAATAGATTTAGTCCCTTTGTGATCTTCTGACCGAGTAGGCTAGGTGACAACCTGCTTTCTGAACCATAATTCTTGAAATGAAAAAGAAAAAAAAAGTCTGTTTGGTAACTGCAATTGATCATAAATAGACCATTTAAAACTATCCATCCTTGCTGAAACTGAAGTGTTACTCGAGAGCACAGTGTTGGCATGTGAAGGCAACACATACTGGGTTCTTCTGCGTTCTACCTTCAAAACAATCTGTTTGCATTTGAAAATAGAAGTATTTCGGCTTTTTAGGAGTTAGTGCAATAAAAGAATGTGAATATGTTAAGAATTTTTCAGATGCTGTTATTATAATTTCATTGTTAACAAGTGCATTAGGATAAGCCTCTGGATGTTTTTGCTTCAAATGGAAAACACGGCTGTTGAATTGCAAGTTTCCCTTCAGTTTCCATGTCGTCACCAAGAAGAGGTTCTTTGAGTTGTTGTTCTATCTTTGCCACTTACATGTAGCTTCGAGTGTAATTTTTTTAGTGTTTACATTTCAAGCTGGGATCTTGATTCGTTACACATATTGAGTCAAAATACCACTACCACTGCCGAAGGACCAAGTTTTGGAATGCACAGTGTTCTAGACCACGAGGAGAGCAAGCAAGAATTGATCCTCACACATGCCATCCTTCTGTGTCATTTTATGGCTGTTTTGTGTTGTTGGTTCCCCCCCCAGTTATTTATTATTGTTAATAACTTCCTTTTTCTTACTTTCTGTTGTAAATAAACTACAAAGCAATCTTCTTTCCAAGTGTAGCTTTCTTCTTTCTCTTTCTCAGCCATTCTCAAGGGAAATTGTTAGCTACCGTGAACTTGTGGGTCACTGGAAAAGAAGCTTCAAGGAATAAGCAATAAGCCAATGGTCAATACTGAGACCCAGTTCTAGGGTAGGGGTCTTGTGTGCAAAGAAGGCTGGTCTGGTGCTAAGAAGCTTAAGGCGCCTTCAGGGCCAGGGCCCTTGATAGGGAAAGCCGGGGTGCCAGCTCTAAGTTTCCAGCCAAAATATAGCCAAGGTGAAGCTATAACCCAATGGGAGATACACATAGACTCATCTATCCATTAACACGTGCTTGGTTCCCCCCTCATCAGATGGGAGGCTGTAGTCTGAATGACAACCAAGAAAAATCCCCCCCTAGGGAATCAGGGGAACACCACCCTAGTGGACACTAGGTTCTATCCATTGCAGGGTGGGCTAGTGTAAGGTGAACTGCAATCATTCTTTTTTTATAAAAAAATATTTTTAAGTTAATTTATTTTGAAAGAGAGGGAGAGCACGCTCGCACGTGCATGAGTTGGGGAGGGGCAGAGAGAGAGGGAGAGAGAACTCCCGAGCAGGCTCCGTGCTGACACCGCACAGCCCAATGCAGGACCCTCAAACCCACAAACCGTGAGATCATGACCTGAGCTGAAGTCGAGTCAAATGCTTAACAAACTGAGCCAGCCGGGCAGTCCTGAGCTGCAATCATTCTGATGTGGTTTCTCCATCTCAAGCAGATAATGTTTTGCACAAAAGGGTCGTCTGGGGGTGGGTAGAGAGAGGACAGAAATGCTTTACTGCCCTTGATCCAGAAGTCTGCTACATGCCTCCCGGTCTATTCTCTCCTCAAACCTGAAGTTCATGTCAACTTCCATGTCCAGTGCAGTTACCCCTGATTGCATCGGGCCACAGTTTCATATAACTGTACCATAAAGAGGCTTTCTACAGTGAAAACTTTTCATGTAATCATGTCACACTGCGCCGATGAACTAAAATAGGCTTGCTTTTATAGCTCTAACTTCGCCAGTACCACTCCCACTCTGCCTTTTAATTCTTTAAAACACACAAACTTCACACCCATAGTTGTGGCCTCACCTTGCACCAGCACACTCAGGTACAGCCAGCCTGGTTATTCCTGGCACCAAACTCTAGGTTGTTAAATATTTGGATGCTTAATGGTGAATAAATAGATGTTTGTAGTTTACCAGCTTACCAGTACTGCTTTAATCAGTGTTTCCTGTTTGAGTATTACTCTTAAATGTCCAAATGCCCACATTGTTTTCTAAAATTCCGTATCCTTCAGTATATTCCACTTGGAGTTTTCACCCCCAACCTCCAATTGTACTTTGACCTCTCAAGTTCAGGATAAATCATGTATCCTTCCTCCAAGCCCTGTTCTGAAATATCCCTCTGTGAAAATGTTCCTCTCAAACCTGAAGCTTTGATGGCTTTAGAACAACAGTCAACCTGTGTGTACACGTACGTGCATGTGTGTGTGCTTAACTCCATGCGGTTGATCCAAGCAGAGTCCTGTTTTCAAGTTTGTTATATTGACTTTCTCCATTGAATTATCAGCCCTCTAATATCCAATCTGTCAAACATTCTTCGTTTTCTATAACATGCAACCTAGTGGGATAGCCCATTCAAGACCAAACATTTACTCCTGCTCCTGGGAAGATTGGAAACAGTCTGGTACTTTGCCTTAGTGCTCTGGTCCCAGCAGTGAGGACTCAAGGTTAGATGTAGCCAAAGAAACATGGCTTTAAATCCTACTGAATGTGGCTGTTTGGTACAGCAGCACTGCAGGGCTGAATGAATTAAACACCTGGAAGTTAGAAGGTAGACACAAAAGCCAGGAGATCATCATTTCCCCTCCTTTAATTGATAAAATTAAAGGAGACTGGCCACTCTGTCTGTCGAGAGTATTGAAGCCAGCCAAATCTGGACCTCTGTGATTTTTTTTTTTTTTATCTTTCAAAATAACTTTACTGCCTCTAAGGGATTCCACATGCAAGATGCTGGCAGTTTGCTGCTCATTGGAAACCCTTGAGAATCATTGTGTAGTCTTACGCACACTAGTGATTACATCCAGAGCATTCCAAAGAGAGCTTGCTGCCCTCTGTATCCAGAGGTTAAAGACCAGTCATCGGTTCTAAAGTGTGTTGTGCCTCATCTCAGAACGTAACTTGAAAACTGAGAAGTATTTCTACAAGTTTGAATTTCCTCACACTCATCTTACACTTATTCTACTTATTTGCATTTTGCTAAAATCTATCCTATAGACCCAAGGACATAAATTTCATTTTCCACCTTAATTAAGTACTTTACAGGGGTGTCTGGGTGGCTCAGTCAGTTAAGCGTCTGACTTCGGCTCGGGTCATGATCTCACGGTTCGTGGGTTTGAGCCCCGCGTCGGGCTCTGTGCTGACAGGTAGCTCAGAGCCTGGAGCCTGTCTTCGGATTCTGTGTCTCCCTGTCTCTCTCTGACCCTCCCCTGCTCATGCTGTCTCTCTGTCTCTCTCCTATAAAAATAAATTTTAAAAAAATTTAAAATAAATAAAACATTTTTGAAAAGTACTTTACAGTTTGCTCCTTTTTCTATGGAAGATGATTCATAAGTGCATACCTTTCTATAAAATGCTTTGAGGATTGTGAATTGATTTATAAGCACCTTTACATTTGGCACATAGCATGTTTACCATTTTTCATAGCTATATAATAGTCCCCCAGGTTGGAAATCCACAATTTACTTAAAACATTCCTTTACTGAGTCACCTAGGTGGTTCAGTCGGTTAAGCGTCCGACTTCGGCTCAGGTCATGATCTCACGGTTCGTGGGTTCAAGCCCCACATCGGGCTCTGTGCTGACAGCTAGCTCAGATCCTGGAGCCTGCTTCAGATTCTGTGCCTCCCTCTCTCTCTGACCCTCCCCTGCTCATGCTGTCTCTCTCTTTCTCTCAGAAATAAATAAAGAAAAGCATTAAAAATTTTAAAAAGAAAAAAACAAACATTCCTTTATTATTTGGCATTAAAACTTATTCTGGATTTTTGTATTATACAGAGTTGTTAGGAGCATCTTTATAACACAGTTTATGTCTTCTTTTTAATTATTTGTTTTGGGCAAATTCCCAGAAATTGAATTACTGGGTCAAAGGATATGAATATTGTTATGACTTTGAGTATTTACTGCCAGCATCTCTTCCAGAGAAAATTGTACCAGTTTACAATTCCGCTGACAACATGTGAATGAGAACATTTGTCTTTTTAAACAAGTATTTACAGTTTTAAAAGTTTACTATTCTCCACTTGTTAAGCAATTGCTAGCATCCAATTCCCATTTAAGTCCTCTGTTGGTTTAACGTATTAATACTCTTTTTGGTTGTTCATGTGATGAAGGGCAAACTTAGACAAAGAATTCTCTGATTTATTTAGGCGTTCAGTGCCTTGGCTGGCTTGCTACACGGCAAACACATTGGCCACTACAGAAACAAAAACAGAAGGGAACTACATTTAATTGAATAAACAAACATCAACTCTCATTCCGCGTTCACACTTTCAGTGGTAACAAACACTGAACGGCATCTTTACTTGAGGACTTCCTGAAAACCACCTTGTAAATGCCAACTGAATTTTGGGGTTTTGTTTCATTTTGTTTTGTTTTTAACCAGGAGAGAATGAAAGTAAGAACTCAAGCTCACTGTTACTCTAAAAACTGTGCTTTCCTGATTCTAACAGAGCCTTGGTAAGGACAGAGCAGAATCTTTCTTAAGTCTTTCAGTTCACTTCTTGGAAAGAATGTGATGATAGATTGCATGTGTGCTCCCAGAAAAAAAGGACATCAACAGACTGTGCGTCATCCTCTCTTCCTGAAGCCACGTGAGAACCATTCCTGGAGAAGAGAGAATTCTCCTCAAGAATGGTCATCCCTCACACACCACAAGGACAAGAAATAAAATCTACACTCAAATTCGTTCGCCATCTGACTGCCGTCTTTACGTTTTTGTTGTCAGTGTCATGTGTTTGGGTTAACTTTTCATTTTGAAATAACTACAAAGGGGCACGTGGCTGGCTCAGTTGGTTAAGCGTTAGACTTCAGCTCCGCTCAGGTCTTAATCTTGTGGTTTGTGGGTTCAAGCCCCGCATCGGGCTCTGTGCTGACAGCTTGGAGCCTGCTTTGGATTCTGTCTCCCTCTCACTCTGTTGCTCCCCCACTTTTACTCTGTCTCTCTCTCTCTCTCTCAAAAATAAACATTAAAATTTTTTTTAATTTCATGAAATAACTGTGGATTCACAGGGAGTTACAAAGAAATGTGTAGGGATGTCCTGTACATCCTTACCCCTGGCCTCCCCCGATGATAACAGCTTGTATAATATCATACAATAAATATGATAACCATGAAATTGACACAATCCATAAAGCTTACTCAGATTTCACTAGTTCTATGTGCCCGCGCGCGTGCGTGTGTGTGTGCGTGTGCATGTGGATCTATGCAATTTCACTACCTGTGTAGCTTCATGTAATCACCATCATTTTCAAGATACAGAGCTGTTTGGTGACCACAGGACCCTCTCATAAATGTGGCTGCTGATTCTACCTCCCAAAGCTTGTACTTCTGAAAATAAAACCTTTCAGTAAGCCAAACACCCATATCCTTTTTTTTTTTCACCATAACATACTCATCACAGCTCTCAAACACTTTTTGGCTATTTCTTAAATATTTATTTTGAGAAACAGCACGCAGTTGGGTTAGCTACAGCTGAGGGACTGCACGGGTGTGGGAGAAAGGCTAATCTTTGAGTTTAGGGGCAGGGAATCTTGTTCAGAACCTTTAAAGTCTAAGCATTTGGATTTCTATGTATTTATTTCATTTATTTTTTTATATGGCATCCTCTATAAAATGTCCTTTTTCAAAAATTTTTTTAATGTTTATTTATTTTTGAGAGAGAGACAGAGCACAAGTGGTGTAGGGGCTGAGAGAGAGGGAGACGCAGAATCTGAAATAGACTTCCAGCTCCCAGCTGTCAGCACAGAGCCTGACGTGGGTAGGGCTTGAACCCACAAATCGTGAGATCATGACCTAAGCTGAAGTCAGATGCCTAACCAACAGAGCCACCCAGGTGTCCCTTACTTATTATTTTTTGAAGTCTAAAATTTATTTTTATTTTTTTTTACAAATAGTTTATTGTCAAGTTGGTTACCATATAAGACCCAGTGCTCATCCCCACAAGTGCCCCCCTCCGTGCCCATCCCCCCTCCCCCCCACATCCATCAGTCCTCAGTTTTTGTCAGCATTCAAGAGTCTCTCATGGTTTGCCTTTCTCCCTTTCCCCCACCATTTCCCCCCTTCTTCTCCCCCATGGTCCTCCGTTAAGTTCCTCCTAATCCTCCTATACGTGCAAACATATGATATTTGTCCTTCTCTGCCTGACTTACTTCACTCAGCATAACACCTCAAGGTCCTATTTATTTTTAATGAGAGAGCGTGCGCAAGCAAGCGAGGGGCAGAGAGACAGAATCCCGAGCAGGCTCTACACTGTCAGCAGAGTCCGATGCAGGGCTCAAACTCACAAAAGCATGAGATCATGACCTGAACAAAACCAAGAGTCAGTCACTTAACTGACTGAGCCACTCGGGCTCCCCTACATTTTACTTCTATAAAGATAATTAAATGAGGGTGCTTGGGTCATTTGTTAAAAACTGGCTAATTCATATTACCTGGTGGATCAATAGTAGGTATACTCAGATTCTTTTGAGCAACATGACCTTGTATTCTCAGAATATAAAAATGTCAAGAACTTTTCTTTTTTCCTGATATGATAGGTCTAGTTTTACATCTAAATGAAAAAGCTTTTTCACATAATAAGATACCCTCCCCAACCTGATGAATGGCTTTTGAGACAGATCTGATTAATACACAGAAGTTTAACTGGAAAAACCAATATTTTGTTATTTGGATTTTCTAAGCAATAACACTGTGTCAGCTGAAACTTCTTCAGTGAGTCCTTTTAAGTAAAATTAAACCAAATGTACTCAAAGAAGCATACATATCTTAAACAGCCTCTTCAGATCTGGATCCAAATATGAATCAATTATTTTAAGTGTTTTGGGTGAGTTCCTCTCTTCCTCTCCCTATGGATCTTTTTTTTTTTTTAATGTTTATTTATTTTTGAGAGAGAGAGAGAGAGAGAAGGAGAGAGAGAATCCCAAGCAGGCTCCGCACTGTCACTGCAGAGCCCTACACAGGGCTTGAATCTGAACTCACGAACCTTTGAGATCATGTCCAGAGCCAAAATCAAGAGTCTGGCGCTTAACCCACTGAGCCACCCAGGTTTTATATATATATATAAATATATATATATATAAAGTATATATATATATATATACTTTTTTTTAATGTTTTTTAATGTTTTATTTATTTCTGAGGGAGGGAGAGAGACAGCATGAGCAGAGGAGGGTCAGAGAGAAAGGGAGATACGGAATCCAAAACAGGCTTCAGGCTCTGAGCTGTCAGCACAGAGCCCAATGCGGGGCCTAAACCCACAAACTGTGAGATCATGACCTGAGCCGAAGTTGGACGCTTAACTGACTAAGCCACCCAGTCGCCCCTATATACCTTTTTTAAATGTTTGTTTCTTTTAAGAGAGGGAAAGAGTGCACAAGTGGGGAGGGGCAGAGAGAGAGAGAGAGAGAGACAGGATCAGAAACGGGCTCTGAACTGACAGCAGAGAGCCCAATACAGCTCATGAACCATGAGATCATGACCTGAGCCAAAATAAGAAACTTAGCCAACTGAGCCACCCACAGTTTGTGGGTTGAAGCCCCACATTGGGCTCTGTGCTAACAGCTCAGAGCCTGGAGCCTACTTCAGATTCTGTCTCTCTCTCTCTCTCTCTCTGCCCCTTCCCCACTTGCGCTCGCTCATTCACTCTCTCTCAAAATAAATAAACACTTAAAAATTAAAAAAAAAAAAGAATAGAACCAATTTAGGGGCTCCTGGCTGGCTCAGCTGGTAGAGTATACAGCTGATCTTGATCTTAGGGTTGTGAGTGCTGACAGCCTGCTTGGGATTCTCTCTCTGCCCCTCCTCCACTCGTGTGCATGCACTCTCTCTCTCAAAAGGAATGGATAAACAAAAATTACAAGATCCCAGGTTGAGTTTAATTTAAGGTAAGTGATGATATTTATGCTAAAAGTTATTTGTTACTGAAATTCAAATTTTACTGGGCATCCTGTATTTTCTTTGGCAACCCTTCTTGTGGGCAGGTAAAGATTTGATTTTTCCTGAGAGCAAGGTATTTTTTTTAAAGGATGAATCGGTAGCAGATTCATCTTTTTTTTTACATTTTTATTTATTTATATTTAATGTTTTATTTATTTCTGAGAGACAGCATGACGGATGCTTAACCGACTGAGCCACCCAGGTGCCCCTGAGAGCAAGTTAAAGGGTTTTAAACTGGGCAGGCATAATCTGATTAAATTTTCAACAGATCACACCAGCTACAGATTAAAGGAGAGCAAGTAGAGAAGCAGGGAGTCAAAGACCAATTACAGTGGCCCAAGGAAGAGCAGAGGGTTGGACCTGAGGGATGGTAGCGGATAAGGGGCGAGGTGGACATGTTGAGCTAGGTTGAGAAGGTGAAATCAACAGCATTTGATACCGACGCTGGCCCCACTGCCTCAGGTACATTCTGGTACCCCACTGCTGACGGTGCTGAAATGCTCAAGTCATTATGACTGACCTGAGCCTCTGCCAGGAACCCCAGCCTCATTGCTAATTTGGCACCTCAACCTCAACATAGCCAGAATAGAACTCTGGGTCTGATCTTTCCACACCACTCCCTCCAGATCTCCCCTCCCCTGCCCCGACCTCCTATGCCAGTAAAGAACACCCCCGGGCACCTGGGTGGCTCAGTCTGTTAAACACCTGACTTCAACTCAGGTCATGATCTCAAGGTTCGTGGGTTTGAGCCCTGTGTCAGTCTCTGTGCTGACAGCACAGAGCCTGGAGCCTGTTTTGGATTCTGTGTCTCCCTCTCTGTCTCTGCCCCTCCCCTGCTCATGCTCTCTCTTGCTCTCAAAAATAAATAAAACAAGGGGCGCCTGGGTGGCTCAGTTGGTTGAGCATCCAACTTCAGCTCAGGTCATGATCTCACAGTTCATGGGTTCGAGCCCCGCATTAGGCTCTGTGCTGAGTGCTTGCTCAGAGCCTGAGAGCCTGTTTCAGATTCTGTGTCTCCTTCTCTCTCTGCCCCTCCCCCGCTCATGCTCTGTCTTACTCTGTCTTTCAAAAATAAATAAATGTAAAATTTTTTAAAAATTTAAATAATAAATAAAACAAAAAAAAAATTTTAAGAAGACCCCAATACACCTGGTCACTCAAGCCAAAAGTGCAGGACTTGCCCTGGATTCTTCTTCCTCTCTCACTACCACAGTCCATCCTGTTGACCTCACCCCCAAAATCCCATCAGTCCACTTTTTTCTATTTCCATTATTACTACCAACCACAAGTCACCCTGATAAATGGTACCCAGATGAGTGGTAGAGTCTCAAAATTAGTCTCTTTGCTTCAACTTTTATTCACCTATAACCCATTCTCCCCTCCGGAGCAAGGGTAATCTTTTCAAAACAGAAATCAGATCTTAGCTTAACACCCTTCAGTCACTTCTGATAGCATTTAGAACTTGCCCCCTCCTCACGCTGCTTACAGAGAGTCCTACACGATCAAGGTTCTTACCCTTCTCAGCCTTGTCACCATTTATTGTCCCCCATCACCTGACCCCTTCTTGTCCATCAGATCTCAGTGGGAAGGTCCCATCTTCAGGGAGACTTTTCTGGAGCAGACTGTCTCCCCCACTTCCCATGGGGGTGAGAGCTCTTTGGGAGTAGGAACCCCATCTGTCTCATTCACTGCCGACTTCACAGCTCGTAGGCACTCATTCATCAATATTTGTAAAGTGAATGAATGCATAGGAACAGTTTGGATCTGGGAGACAAGGAAGAGGAAGTATCAATGATTTCTGGCCAGATCTAATCTCAGTCCAGTGACCGGAGGCCAGACCCCTCCCAGATTGTTTATGTGTTCTCCTGCCAGCACTCACTTTTGCAGAGCTCTGGTCACTGCTCTGACTTTCAACAGGACCCTTAGTGACAAATGGCCCAAACTCTTCCTGAAGATTGTTGGGTTCTGTGGTCACCGTACCTGCCCACGTATCTAAAACTCATCAGCTTAAGGAGCATCTAGCTGGCTCAGTCAGTGGAGAATGCAACTCTTAATCTCATCTCGGGGTTGGGAGTTCAAGCCCCATGTTGGGTATAAAGATTACTTAAAAATAAAATCTTAGAAAAAAACTCAGCTCCTCAGCTCAAGATTTTTTCCTTTCCCTTCCCTGTCCTGTTAAATTACAAGTGTTTGTTTGACCTCAATTTCTGCATACACCTATTGAATTTGGGCACTCATTGGGAGGACACTAGCATTAGATTGAAATTAATTTGGTAATCGGTGCCCCCAATTACCAAAAAAAAAAAAGAAAGAAAGAAAAAAACCTTAGATTCTTCCTTTATTTCTGAAATTTACCGTGGAAAATACAGAGATGTTTGCCTGAGTTTCAGTGATATTATTCAATTCATCATGGTGCTCTCAACATTTGCCTCAAAGTTGCTTTGAGATTCTAACACCAGAAAACATATCCTGGAGCATCTTAGACCATATCTAAGAGCCACCATAACTTCCATATAATATGGAGATTTGGTAGACTATATATATATCTACCATGTATCTTCTTTTCAGAATGGTGCTTCTAGAAATGTTCCTTTGGCAAAGCTCTTACTATAACCCACTCATGCAATGTGCACGCCACCAACTGTCAACCTTCCATGAAAAATCCATAATGGGCAACATTCTCCCTTTTGAATATGGGCAGGCATCCCTTCCTACCCGTTATATAATTAGACTTGTTCATTGTATATTTATCACCTAATTCTATTCTAGGAATTGAATGTGAGAGGCGATAACTTCCCCAGTCTTCACGGTGAGGCAGCCAAGCAGCATCAACATGACAAACAATTCAGAGGGAACACCCACGGCTCACAGTAAAACTCACAGGGTCACAGCTGCCTTTGAAGCCGGGCTCTTATGTGTCTCTAACTGGTGATGGATATCCAGGCCCTTTTCTTGCTCATTGACCTTGATTGGTGCATCTTTGAAGTGGAACACTTTGACCCGGTCTTTTCTGACACTAGGTTGCTGAACATTTCTACTTCCCTTGTTACAGCTGGTGTCCTTTCAGAAAGGATTGCAATCTCATTTAATAGTTTACCAAACTTAGGGGTGCCTGGGTGGCTCAGTCGGTTAAGCATCCAACTTCAGTTCAGGTCATTATCTCATGGTTCATGGGTTTGAGCCCTGTGTCGGGCTCTGTGCTGACAGCTAGCTCAGAGCCTGGAGCCTGCTTCAGATTCTGTGTCTCCCTCTCTCTCTGACCCTCCCCTGCTCATGCTGTCTCTCTCTCTCTCTCAGAAAAAAAATTTTTTTTAAAAAGTTAATAGTTTACCAAACTTAGACTCGATTATGGACAAACATGCAAGTTGAGTTTTAGCTTTCTCAACCAGTAAGTCTTACTTTATCCTAGTGGATCAAGCCCACATCCCATTTATTACAATGGCTTGCCATGTGAGTGTTTTTCTATTTAACAAACATATATTAAACTCTTCTTTTTTTTTTTAAGTAAACCCTATGCTCAACATGGGTCTCAAAGTCATGACCCCGAGATCCAGATTCATATGCTCTACTGACTGAGCCAGCCAGAAACCCCTGTATTGAACTCTTTATATAGATCAGGCACAATTGCTGGTGCCAGGAAAGCAATGATGTAAAGTGATGGATTCATTCACTGACTGAGGGCCTACTAAGTGCTAGGAAATGGGGATGTGTAGGTTAATAGGACAGACAGGGACTCCCTACACCTAAGAAGTTTATGACATAGGGGCGCCTGGGGGACTCAGTCGGTTAAGCATCCACCTCTTGATTTAGGCTCAGGTCATGATCTCACGGTGGTGAAATCAAGCCCTGCTTTGGGCTCCACACTCATGGAGGGATTCTCTCTCTCCCTTTCTCTGCCTCGCCTTGACTCACTCTGTCTCTCTCTCAAATTGAATAAACTTTAAAAAATTGCCTTTCAAATTATTTTTTATAAAAACATTATGTTAACATGCAATGTTTATTACTATCTTAAAGTGAATATTTTTTCTGATTCCTCAGTTTTAATTTCAAATACAGTAAATATCAATAAATATAATCCATATAAACAAAAGCTATTTTTGGTCCTTAAGAATTTAAAGGAATCCTGGGGCATCTGGCTGGCTCAGTCCATGAAGCATGTAACTCTTGATCTTGGGGTTGTTTGAGCCCCATGGTGAGTATAGAGATTACCTAAACTGAGAAATCCTGTGTTTATTTATTTTTTGAAAGTAATCTCTACATCCACTGTGGGGCTCGAACTCAAAACCCTGAGGTCCAGAGCTGCATGGTCCTCTCACCGAGCTATCCAGCTATTCCTCTTCCAACTGAGCGAGCCAGGTATCCCGAGAACCACTGTTTTAACTCTTCAGGCTGCAGGAAAAGGAAAGCACAAATTCAAAATTATGAGTACACTTTCACTATTCATTAATCCCACAAATATTTACGAGACAGGCATTATACCAGATACTAGTGATAAATCCAGAGTTCCTTCAAAGAAATAAAACATAATGGGGGAAAATATACAAGTAGGCTATCCCACTACTGGATGACACATGTTAAACAAATTGGTGCACTGAATCATTTAATCCAGTCCCAGAGAATCAGGGAAGACTTCCTGGAGGAGGAGGAAACATCTAGGCTGGAACCAAACCATGGGCAGTATGCACCAGACAGGGTTCAGTAGAGAGGCTGATGAACTGTCCTGGGAGGAAAAGGAAAGTTTCACAGAGGCCAACATGGGTTGAATCTCAGTACCTCTTTTCCAACTAACAAAGGGACCACAAATTCATAGTCAAATTCTTTGGTGACTTTGAAAAGTTAAAGTCCTGTTAGCCCTAGTAAGAGTTTACAGTATTTAATTCCTTTACAATAGCTAGATATCCTCGTCTCCAGTGTTGTGATGTTGTAGTCATATCTCCACACATTAGGCGATCCATGTGGATGCTTGATTTAAATGTTGCCTGTGATGTAACACCCAGTATAGATTTGTTTAGCAATTGCCTATTTAGGTGGTTTCTCCCTAAGAACATGATTTATCGTTATTATTTTTTTTTTTTACAGTACTAGTTAAGTCAATCATGTTGACATTAGAAATCTCTTCCAGAGGGTCGCCTGGGTGGCTCAGTCGGTTAAGCGTCCGACTTCCGCTCAGGTCATGATCTCGCGGTTCTGGGTTCGAGCCCCGCGTCGGGCTCTGTGCTGACAGCTCAGAGCCTGGAGCCTGTTTCAGATTCTGTGTCTCCCTCTCTCTCTGACCCTCCCCTGCTCACGCTGTCTCTCTCTCTCCTAGAAATAAATAAAACATAAAAAAAAAAAAAAAAAAGAAAGAAATCTCTCCCAGAAGGGCGCCTGGGTGGCTCAGTCGGTTAAGCGTCTGACTTCCGCTCAGGTCATGATCTCATGGTTCGAGGGTTCGGGCCCCGCGTCGGGCTCTGTGCTGACAGCTATCTCAGAGCCTGGAGCTTGTTTCAGATTCTGTGTCTCCCTCTCTCTCTGACCCTCCCCTGCTCACACTGTCTCTCCCTCTCTCACATATAAATAAAACATTAAAAATTAAAAAAAAAAATCTCTCCCAGAAATGATGTCTTGCTAAAAAATTGCCTAAGAGGACCTTGGACTTCACCTTCTTCTATCATACAAGTTCTCATTAGCTAGACAGAGCCTTGCCTGTGGGCGCAGAAAACAAAAGGCGACTGAGACAGAAGCAGGTGGATTAGCCATTTCACTTGGTACAGCACTTCATCAAGTTTATTTAAAGGGCTAAATTTCTTCTCTTTAGCACACTGTTCCTTCACGCCTTGGTAAAGAATTCCCAGGGAGTTCACGTAAAGTTAAAAAAAAAAAACCCAAACAAAACAACATCCCACAACCAAAACAAAAATGGGCTTATTTCTGCTCAGTCACCTGTCACGCCCGCCCTTCAGCCTCTCAAATCCTTAGCTGAAGAAGGCGCCGCAGCTACGGCAGCTGTACGCGGCGTTAAGAGATGCCCGGGCCACCCATCCTCTTCAGGCAGAGTACATCCGGGACGCTGAGGGGCGTGGCCGGGAGGCGGAGTCTAGAAGCAAAGCCCAGGCCCCGCCCACCCGGGGGCCCACAGCCCTGCAGGCCCGCCACGCCCGCCAGAGGTCGCAGGCTCAGCAAACGGGTTTCGTATTTGGCGAGTGCCTGTCCTGTTGAGACCCTAGTTCTCGCGATAGAAAGCGCAAAGCCTGCTGGGACGGATGCGCGGCCGTCTGTAGGTTTGGCCAAAATGGCAGCCTTGGAGGAGGGATTCACGTTGTCTGCAGTACCCTTGGGTGCCGGGCCTAACGGACTCCTCGGTGTGGAGCAGAGCGACAAAACAGACCAGTTTCTAGTGACGGACGGCGGCAGGACCGTCATCCTCTATAAGGTGAGGGTGATGTGCTCGGAGAGACCCCGCTGAGGTCTTGCCCCTTTCTGTTCACGGAGCCAGAGCCTCAGGTTTCTCGGGGCTTCAGGAGATCGCGGAGCAGCTTGTTGGAGAGCCGGCTTGGCCGCTCCGGGGCGCTGAATGAAGCCTAGAAATGGATTCGGTTGTTTTCCTGGAGACAGAGGCATATTTCGGAGTTGCAGGTAGCGGGGAGGCTAAGTGCACGTGGGCTAGACTCAAAGGAAAAGAAATGTGTGCTTTCGCTTCGCATCTCTCTGACATGGCCTTGACATCCCCTCCTGGGATTTCTGTCTCCCCGGCTGCCCGCAGAAGGGTTGAGAGAGGGCGGGAGAGCACGACTGGCAGCATGGGAACAGTGTTTGTGTCTATACACTTCTCTCTCCTTTGGGAATAAAGTTGTGTGGGTTGTTATATTGTTTTCTTGGTAGCTTGGTGGAATTTTGATTCCGAGTGGGCTCTTGCCAACTACACGTTGTAAATCCTGGAGTTGAGTTCTGGACAGGCTCTATACGTCCCGCCCCCTTTTCATCCTCACTCTTTAGCTCACCACGCGTTCGAAGCAGTTGTGGTTTTATTTATTTATTTTTAGTGTTTTATTTATTTCTGAGGGAGAGAGAGACTGTGTGAGCAGGGAGTGGTCAGAGAGAGAGGGAGACACAGAATCCGAAACAGGCTCCAGACTCTGAGGTGGATGTCGGCACAGATCCCGACGCGGGGCTCGAACCCGCGAACCGTGAGATCACGACCTGAGCCGAAGTCAGACGCTTAACCGGCTAAGCCACCCAGGTGTCTCAAAGCAGTTGTGCTTTTAGTGGTCTTGTAGAAAGTAATTGTTTTATCTGGTCTGCTGAACATAGTTTCACGTGTCTTTAAGAAGCTAGCTATCTACTTTGAAGTTTGGGGAACAGGTTCCCAACATTCCTTCTTTTTTTTTTTTTTTAATTTATTTTCTATTTATTTTGAGAGCGAGATAGAGAGCAAGCTGGTGAGGAGGGGCAGTGGGAGAGGGAGACAGAATTCCAAGCAGGCCTCCTGCTGTCGGAGCACAGGTTCTAGCTCACCAACCATGAGATCCCGTGACCTGACTCAAAACCAAGAGTTGAAGCTTAACCAAGTGAGCCGCCCAGGTGCCCCTTGACTCCTCTGATGACATTGTTGGTTTTTTCCTCGGCTGTCTAGCAGACTTAATTTTTGCAGTTCCTGCGTAGGAATATAGGCCCTGATTGCATTTGGCATGATGGGGCCTATCCCTACTCAGTTTCCCATGCCTATACTCAAAGGCACAGTGGAGGGATGCCTAGGTGGCTCAGTCGGTTAAGCATTGGACTTCGGCTCAGGTCATGATCTCACGGTTTGTGGATTCCAGCCCCGCATCGGGTTCTGTGCTGACAGCTAGCTCAGAGCCTGGAGCCTGCTTTGGATTCTGTGTCTTCCTCTCTCTCTGACCCTCCTCTGCTCGTGCTGTCTCTCTTTCTCTCTCAGAAATAAATAAAACATTAAAAAAAAAAAAACAACCACAGAATCCATTTTTTGAATGTACAATTCACAAAATAGTGTTGCTTATTTACCTTTTCTTTTTCATTTTAGGAACTTACATTTTCATTTAAATTTCTTTAAGTTTTTAAAAATATTTTTAATTGTAAAATACACATAAAAGTTACTATCTTGGGGTGTCTGGGTGGCTCAGTTGGTTAAGCGTCTCGCCCTTCTCATTCAACTGCAGTCTCGATCTCAGGGTTGTGAGTTCAAGCCCCATGCCGGACTCCATGCTGGGCATGGAGCCTACTTTTAAAAACATTTACATCTTAACCATTTTTTGATCACACAGCTCAGGGTCGTAGGTACCATTACATTGTTGTGCAGTCATCACCACCCTCCACCTTCCATACTTGTTTCATCTTGCCAAACTGAAACTCCACCATTAAACAATAACTCCCTATTCTCCAGCCTCTGAAAACCACCATTCTACTTACTGTCTTAGGTGGAATCATACACTGTCTTTTGTGACTACTTGCCTTTTTCATTTAGGAAATTTGCTAAATGCTGCTTTGTTAGTGATTTCTTCCTTTGTCTTGATTGTAAATTTAATTGCCCATAATATCTGAAATTGACCTTTTGAATATTGTATGTTATCTTAATTTTACTAGGTTTCTGATCAGAAACCCTTGGGGAGCTGGTCAGTGAAACAAGGTCAAATTATAACGTGTCCAGCTGTGTGCAACTTTCAAACTGGAGAGTTTATTGTCGTTCATGATAATAAGGTGAGTTTTAAAACTACTTATAACATATACAACAAAAATATTGATTTATTGACTTTCTGTTATGTGTAAATAAAAACTGGAATACTTTCTTAACTTGTATGTTTTGATTTAAGGTTTTGAGAATATGGAATAATGAAGATGTAAACCTGGATAAAGTATTTAAAGCTACAGTAAGTCTCTGAATTTTCTAACCTTTTTTTAAATGCTTATTTGTTTGTTTCTAAGGTTTATGTATTTATTTTGAGAGAGAGAGAGCACAGGCAGGTGAGAGGCAGAGAGAAGGAGAGACAGAATCCCAAGCATGCCACACACCATCAGTTCAGAGCCTGATGGGAGTCTAGAACTCCCTAACTGTGATATCATGATGGGAGTGGAGGTGGAGATCAAGAGTCGGACACCCAACTGACTGAGCCACCCAGACACCCCAGATGTTTGTTTATTTTTAAGAGGGAGGGAAGAGCAGAGAAAGGAGGACAGAGGATCCGAAGTAGGCTCTGCACTGACAGCAACGAGCTCGATGTGGGGCCTGAACTCACAGGCAGCCAGATCATGACCTGAACCAAAGTCAGTCAACCCACTAAACCACCCAAGCATCCTAGGATCTTCTAACTAACGTTTTTAGTGTAGTAGATTGTTTATCTTAATGCATCTGTAAAAGTGAGCATAAAAGTTATATTAGCTTTCATTCTAGTTATCTTATAGTATATCTTGTTAACATATCTTAGTTCATGAGTTAATGTTAAAAAATATAAACTTTATTATTTCATAAGATTAAGAATTTAAATAATGGGTGCCTGGGTGGCTCAGTCGATTAAGTGTCCAACTTCAGCTCAGGTCATGACCTCACGGTTCATGAGTTCGAGCCCCACGTTGGGCTCTGTGCTGACAGCTCAGAGCCTGGAGCCTGCTTCGGATTCTGGGTCTCCCTCTCTCTCTGACCCTTCCCTGCTCATGCTGTGTTTCTCTCTGTCTCAAAAATAAATAAAACATAAATAGAATTTAAAAAAGGAATAAACGTTAAAAAAATTTTTAAATAATTCCTGAATAAGTTTACAGTGATTTCCATGAGTTTAGGTGTTTATGATAGGTCTCTTGTGAGAACTTCATGTTCTTAAAATAAGTAGAACAGGCCCTGCTACTTACATGTAATTTTTATATACATATATATATGTATATACGTGTATATGTGTGTGTGTTTGTGTGTGTATATATGTATGTACATACGTATGTATACGTAAATTCAATGTTTGCTTATTTTTGAGAGAGAGAGAGAGAGACGGAGCAGGGAAGGGTCAGAGAGAGGGGAGACACAGAATTTGAATCAGGCTCTAGACTCTGAGCTGTCAGCACAGAGCCCGACATGGGGCTCGAACCCATGAACCATGAGACCATGACCTGAGCTGAAGTCGGACCCTTGACTGAGCCACCCAGGCACCCCTATATAAATATGAATATGAATGTAAATACATATATATATTTTTTAAAATTAAAAGCAGGGAAGGAACAGAGAAAGAATCCCAAGCAGGCTCCGCACTGTCAGCACAGAGCTTGATGCAGGGCTCAAACTCATGAACTGTGAGATCATAACCTGACCTGAAATCAAGATCTGGACACTTAACCAACTGAGCCACCTGGGCGTCCTTGCATTATATATTTTAAGAGTGGCCCAGAATGCAGTAAAAATAATCACGAGTTATAACCACTGTGCATTTTCTAATGATGATCTAAAGTATGTTAATTTTTCTTACTTACAAATTGAGAGTCTCAGGGTAACCTTGAAAGTTCCTTCCCGTCCTTTTTTTTTTTCCTTTTTTTTTTTTTTTTAATTTGCTTGTTTGTTTGTTTTTGATTTATTTTGGTAGAGAGCACTAGCGGGGAAAGGGCAGAGAGAGTCCCAAGCAGGCTTCACACTGTTGTGGAGCCCAACATGGGGCTCACTCTCATGAACCATGAGATCATGACCTGAGCTAAAATGAAGAGTTGGACATTTAATTGACTGACCCAGCCTAGGTGCCCCCAAAGTTCCTTCCAGTTCTAGGTGTCTAACTCTAAGAGTGCCTGGATGGCTCAGTCAGTTGAGCTTCCCATGACCTCACTGTCATGGGATCTAGTCTAACATTGGGCTCCGTGCTATGTTAAGATTCTCAGTCCCTCTCCCACTTTCCTTGCCCCCTCCCCCCACCCTGCACGTGCTATAAATAAATAAAGATGTCTAACTCTATAATTGACAAATTTTAATGTTTATTATTTTGAGAGAGAGACAGACAGACAGAAAGACCAAGAAGGGGAGAGGGGCAGAGAGAGAGGGAGATACAGACTCTGAAGCAGGCTCCAGGCTCTGAGCTGTCAGCACAGAGCCTGATGCAGGGCTCAGAGCCACGGATTGCACACTGCAAGATCATGACCTGAGCTGAAGTCGGCTGCTCAACTGACTGAACCACCCAGGCGCCCCTAGTTGGCAAATTTTAGAAATGGCTCATACGAGAGTGGTTCTGATATGTCACTTATCACATGGAACCTTGAAACCTCTAGCTAGCTGTGTTGTCTCCTGGCCCCAGTCTTTTCATTTACCTTGCAGTAACATGATCCTGACTTTTACAGCAGGGTTAACGTCTTTTCTTGGGCTTACAGGCTGTAGTTGTAAGTACGGCAACAGTCTGCATCTAGCATCAGAATTGCTTAAGGCTGAATTAGTGGCTTTATTTAAACCTCTTCCACCTTCAGTTTTTGAGCAGCTAGGTTGTACCTAATCTCCAGTACTCACAATGAAGGGATAAATCAAAAATGCATAAAAATGCAAAGAAATACTTAAAGGGGAGAGCAGAATAGGAGCAAAATGCTTCTGTTTGGGGGCGCCTGGGTGGCTCAGTCATTTGAGTATCTGACTCTTGATTTCCACTCAGGTCATGATCTTACAGTTCGTGAGATGGAGCCCCCACATCAGGCTCTGTGCTGACAGCGTGGAGCCTGCTTAGGATTCTGTCTGTCCCTCTCTGCCCCTAAACCACTTGCTTGTACTCTAAATAAATAAGTAAATAAATAAACTTTAAAAAGAAAAGGCTTCTGTATGTATTTATGCTGAACTGACGATTTTGGAGCCATACAAAGCTGAATCAAAATGAAAACAAATCAGGGGCGCCTGGGTGGCTCAGTCGCTTAAGCGTCGGACTTCAGCTCAGGTCATAATCTCATGGTTTGTGGATTCGGGCCCCATGTCGGGCTCTGTGCTGACAGCTCAGACAGAGCTTGGAGCCTGCTTCAGATTCTGTGTCTTCCTCTCTCTCTGACCCTTCCCTGCTCACGCTGTCTCTGTCTCTCTCTCAAAAATAAATAAAATATTTAAAAAAATGAAAACCAATCAGTTCTTAAGAATAAGGTTTCTATAAGTGTCCTTATTCTATTAGGTGGCAATTGTTTTAGAATAAAAATTAATGCATTCTTATGTTTTTCTAGTTGTCAGCTGAGATCTATAGGATACATTCAATACAAGGGACAGAACCCTTAGTGCTGTTCAAGGAAGGTGCCGTTCGTGGTTTAGAGGCCTTGCTTGCAGAGCCCCAGCAGAAAATTGAAACTGTTATCTCTGATGATGAAGTGATTAAGTAAGTTCCAATACTTGTAAGTGAATTTTTACCAAAATAAAAATTTACATGTTTTTTTTTAACATTCTTTGCCTTATTTACTTATTTATAAAACATTTTTGTAATGTTTTATTTATTTTTGAGAGAGAAAGATCACGAGTGTGAGAAGGTCAAAGAGAGAGAGCGAGAAAGGGAGACACAGAATCGGAAGGAGACTGCAGGCTCTGAGTTGTCAACACAGAGTCCAACATGGGGCTTGAACCCACAGACTGAGATTATGACCTGAGCCAAAGTCGGACGCTTAACCGACTGAGCCACCCAGGCGCCTCTCTTTGCCTTATTGAAACATATTTTGGTTGTAAACATAATAAAACCTTTGTTAAAAACCATTTATGTGCTGTTGGCCAAATTAACATTCTCCAGAAGCCTCAAGAGAGATAGGTGATTGGGAAGGTGTAGGGACGTGTGACTCCTATTCTAATGACAGTGAACTGGATAGTCAGTTATTTGAAGATGAAGAAGGTAACTCCTTGAAGTCAAAATTTCAGTTTTTGTCCTGTTGTCCTGACTGCCAAGGTTGGAACTCTTACCCCTGACAAAAGTAGTTTGTTAGTAAAATCATGATAGTGCTTGGAGCCCTCTGCTTTCCCAAATTCTGGAATAAAACTGGAAAAATGACTCACTCAAATGATAGAAGGAAATCCCCTTCCAATACCCATTATTTTATCACATTTCCTGTTAACTTGCTTCCTGTCCAGGTCCACTTGATGCAAGCTAAATTCCTGAAAGTCCAGGTGAAGGCTTGTACTTAGCGAACAGTGTGGACAGTGACCACGTGTATCTTGGACTGCCCTGTTGAATGCTTCCAGTGTGTGGAGCAACCCTGTTTGGAGGAAATCTTTAGGAAAAGGGATGTAGGTGGAGGCCCTGCCAGAATCTGGCTGTGTAGCCTTGCGTGTAAGCCCTTAGCCCTCTCTGTGCCTCCTCCCCTTCTGTGGCTTGAGGAAGGCAGACGGGAGCCGCAGAGCACTGGTCCCATGAGTGACTGAAAAGGGAAAGTAGGGGAGTCCAATAAGTTTAATAACACTGCGTAATGTCCCACACCCACCCCTCTGGAGCTTTACAAGTCACCTGGTCTTTAAAGCTCCGGGAAGTTGAGCACCTTGCATTTAATCCAGAGATGCATTTGACAGAGAAAGGCCTACTAATTCCCCACGGTACGTTTATTTTGAAACACTGAATTAAGTGTTCTCTGATGTCTCTCTGGCTCTAAAAAAATATTTTACAGAAGATATTCTCTTAAATTTAGATTGATGGGTTTCTCTTAGCAGGTGGTTTGATATTTTATATTTTTTCTATTTTTTTTAGGTGGACAAAGGTTTTCATGGTATTTAGGCATCCTGTTTTAATCTTTATTACTGAAAAAGTAAGTGCTCTCTTTAATCCTGGCCTGTTTTGTGACATTTCAAATTCACCTATATTATTTTTTTTTTTTTAAAGTTTCTATGTTTTCTTTTTTTTTTTTTTTTTTTTAATGTTTTATTTATTTCTAGGAGAGAGAGAGAGACAGCGTGAGCAGGAGAGGGTCAGAGAGAGAGGGAGTCACAGATTGAAACAGGCTCCAGGCTCTGAGCTGGCAGTCAGCACGGAGCCCGACGCGGGGCCCGAACCCACGAACCGCGAGATCATGACCTAAGTGAAAGTCGGACGCTTAACCGACTAAGCCACCCAGGCGCCCCTCACCTATATTATTTTTAAAACTAAAATTGGACTTTAGTATCTCTCTCAGAAGATTTGTGTTTGTGTATTGTTTTAAATATGAAAAAACCTATTAGTTAAAAGGAATATTTCTTATACTATGTTTAATTGGACAAGAGGTTTTTAAGCACTCGTTGAAGTAATTAGGAGTGACAGTTGACTTTAACATTTACATACAGTTGTTTGACGTGGGAATATTCTTAAAATAACCCTTTTTGTTTGTGCAGCATGGAAATTACTTTGCTTACGTGCAGACGTTTAGCTCGCGTACCTTAAGCAAGTACGCACTCTTACTTGGACAAGAAGAAAAGTCTGTTATACAGAATTTTACTGCATCTGTGGATCGGAAATTCATCTCTTTGATGTCATTAAGTAAGTATTTTTCTTTAAACTTTCATAGGTTGTAAACAAAAGGGTATCACAGGATGGTGGCTTTTTTGGAGTTTGAGTCTTAGGTGTTTGCAGTTGTCTATTGTAACACTTCCCTTCACATGCTTCTTTACAAGCACTTATGCTGTCACTTTTTCCGCTTTGCCATGTCTGGTCATGTAGTAATTATGTCAGTAGTTCCCTGCAGGTACCTCTTAAAAATTTATCATAAGCAATTAATAATAATATAACACCAATAAAGAAGGAAAAAAATCACTTTATCATTGATAAGGTCAGGTTCTTTGATATTGTAATTAGTGAACCATAAACAAAGGGTTTTGTTTGTTTGTGTTTTTAATATTAACTTATTTTTGGGAGAGCGTAAGCAGGGGAGGGGCCGAGAGAGGAGGGACAGAGGCTCCAAAGGAGGCTCTGCACTGACAGGCTGACAGTCTGATGTGGGGCTCAAACCCACGAACCGGGAGATCATGACCTGAGCTGAAGTCTGACACTCAGCCGACTGAGCCACTTTGGTGCCCCTCAGGTTGCTATGGAGTGGCCCCTCTACTCCTCCTTTTTAGCCTTCAGGTACAGCTTGTCCTTCTTTGAACAGCAGTGGGGGCAAACGAGTTAAAGTAGACTAACAGCACTTGTGGCCATGCCAGCCAGCGTTTCACAGATCTGTTAATGCTTGGAGTTCAGCTCTATGTAATGGTCTAAAGTATAATCCTAATTTTATGTGACTAAGTAGGAAAGAGAAAAGTGCATTTGTGGTATCCTCTTCCTCCTCCTCTTCACGGCTCCTCTTGAAGTTGTTTTGAGAAAGGAGACGAAGAAGCAAGAGGAGTGTTTTCGTATTATCACTGTTAAAAATCTGTGATGTTTTTTAATGTGCAAATGTTTGCAGTGGCTATTAAGAAAAATCCCATCATATCTAGAAGATCTTTGGAATCCATTTCATGCCTTTGGTTAAGAGGGATTGGTTTTCTTATAGTTTAACTTACATACTTACTGGGGGTTTTTTTGTTTGTTTGTTTTTTTAAGTAGGCTCCATGCCCACCATGGGGCTTGAACTCCCAGCCCTGAGATTAGGAGTTGCATGCTCGGGCACCTGGGTGGCTCAGTTGGTTAAGTGTGACTTTAGCTCAGGTCATGATCTCATGGTTTGTGAGCTTGAGCCCCACATCGGGTTCTTTGATGTCAGTGCAGAGCCTGCTTTGGATACTTTGTCCCTCTCTCTCTGCCCCTCCCTGCTTGTGTTCTTTCTCTCTCAAAAATAAACATTAAAAAAAAAAAAGTGTATGCTCTACCAACTGAGCCAGCAAGGCACCCCAGATATACTTATCATTAAGGGAAAGTTTGCAGGTTAAGTTTTAACTTACTGTATGAACTTAGAAATAAGGGAGTCCAAACCAAAGAGCCCTAAAATCATGCAGCCTGAACCACATGAAATTGCCAGACTTCAGTTGACAGACAAAAAATGGCAATTTCATATGGTTTTCAGGGTGATGGAGTAATAAGTTTCACGCACAGACCAGAATGCTAATTAACTTTGAATGTGAGATATATCCGTTTAGTGATGAGATTGTCTGTATTCCTGACACTTCCCTCTTATATTTTAAGTTATTACTAGTATTTACAGACTGTAATTCTTAGCTGTTGTGAATTTTTTTTTTTTTTTTTTGAGAGCAAGCGAGCAGGGGAAGGAGGGGGAGAGAGAGAGAGAATGAATGAAAATTGTAAGCAGTTTCCATGCCCAGCTCAATTTTAGGTTTGTAGTACAGTAAGTTCTTTAAAGGAAAGCGTAGAGCAATGTGATTAAGTTTGTTTTTCTGATTATATCATATCAAATTGGTAAAACTTATAAATAACTTGGTACCTTTAACTCTAAAAGATCTAAAACTATCCTTTGACTGATAATGAACAACAAATAACTTGTTTCCAACAGGCGCTGATGGATGTATATATGAAGCCTTGATACCAATACATACAAGTGGCCCAGAAAAAAATCAAACGGTAGTTAGATCACTGGTGCTCAGGACTGTGGTATCCGGGAACGCTCGAAGTGGTGTTGCACTCGCCGTCCTGGATCATGATCACATAGCCGTCCTGGGACCGCCACTGCCTTCTTCCAAGGGTGACTAACTCTCATCCATTAAGAAGTCCTTTGGATTTTTCCTTCAAAGTGTGCCTCTTGTTCTTCTTTTTCTTTTTTTATTTATTTATTACCACTCATTCATTTTCTTTATCATCGTACTCAAATTATTTTTGTAGCTTCCTAACTCTTCTTGAATAGGTCTTTGATTGTATCTTACATTAGTTAATCTTTTTCAGGTTGTTATTTTTTTATTTAGTAATCTCTGTGCCCCACGTAGTAATCTCTATACCCACAAGTGGGCTGAAACTCAGTGACCCCAAGATTGAGTCACATGCTCTTCTGACTGAGACAGCTAGGTGCTCCATCTTCTTAAAAACATTTCCTTGTATCACTATCTTGCTCATGACTAATGTCTTAAAGAAATAAAAATTCCAAATATCTGTGCCGGCCCCTAGGCATTTGATCGTTGGTAAGCCTTACAGTAGAGAACTGAATTCATAGCCTGGTGACATTTCTGCAGAATGGAAATCCATAGGGCTTGGACTCCTTGAAATTCAGGGGCCACTAGAATGCTTTTCCATCTGTGACTTCAGAGCATGAGTCTTATTTCCACCTCCCCTAGCCCCCAGATACTCCTGCACAAACGCAGGCTTGTAGTCTCTCAGGAAGAACATATTTGTTCCTGGCCAGTGCAAGATTGGGATCTTTTAGGCAACACCATGAAACTCAAAAGTCTTTTGCTTAGTATTTGGGTCTCTTCACAGTCTAGACCTCATCCACCTTTTCCAGTCTCTTTTCCCATTTGCAGAGCAAAAACCCTTTGATTTATTCAGTCCAGGCTCACTATTGACCGTACACTTCATTTGCCCATGCTCGTCCGTGGTTCTTTGTTTCTCCTGCTTATTAAGATAAGAGCTACTAGATAGATAATAGCATCGCTACCCTGGGCCAAGCATGTCACTTGTCTTATCCCTTTGTTTGTGTCATTTAACCTCCCAACAGCACTAGGAAGGAAGGTAGTTACTAGTAATACTCCTGTTTTACAGGTCAGGACGCAGGTGTTAGATGACGAAGTAGAATGAGGATTCAGCCCAAGCATGTTGCCTCTTCTGTCACCTACCTTACTGTCCTCAAGTCCTGGCGCTCTGCCACGTTACCACTCTGTGCTGTTCTCTCCCCCACCACCAGCAACCCCCTGAAACCCAGTGACCGCTGTTAGAGCTCCCAGCGTCTCTTTCCAGTGTTTTTATATGTATACAGGCAAATACTACTGCTTATTATTATTTTTTCTCTTCTTTTTACATGAATGGCAGCATACCATACATGCTGTTGTGTGCCTTATTTATTCACTTTCCTGAGAGATCATAGAGCCCTTTCCATATTAACATTTATCATTATTATTACTGGTAGTATTATTAACTTTGTTTCATTAGAACACTTTAAGGTTCACAGCAAAATGGAAGGGAAGATATACAGAGCTCCCATATACCCGCTGCCTCACACACGTCCACTTCTTTTTTTTTTTTTTTTTTAATGTTTTATTTATTTCTAGGAGAGAGAGAGAGACAGCGTGAGCAGGGAGGGTCAGAGAGAGAGGGAGTCACAGACTGAAACAGGCTCCAGGCTCTGAGCTGGCAGTCAGCACAGAGCCTGACGTGGGGCTCGAACCCACGAACCGCAAGATCATGACCTAAGCGAAAGTCGGACGCTTAACCGACTAAGCCACCCAGGCGCCCCACACATGTCCACTTCTTGTCATGAGATCGCATTTCCTTGCATTTCTGTGGTACTCACTTATTTTTATACTTAGCGAAGCAAGACTTGTGTATTTAACTGTGACTCTCCCCGTCTCCCTACGTCCTTACCCCCTGCCCTCAGCATCACATATTTACGTGTGCCACGTCTGAGTTTGTATGTCTTATTTTACAGAATGCCTGTCCATATGGAACACAAAATTTCAAACACTACAGACTTCCAAAGAGTTACCACAGGGGACCAGCGGTCAAGTAAGTTTTTTGCCTTGAGTATTTTTTCAAATTTAGTTACTTTTGTGCATGGTAAATACACTGTAAAGGAAGAGACTTCTGAGATAAATAATTTGGCAGTTTTTGTTTTGAAAGAGAGTACGTGTGAGCCCATGAGAGCTGGGAGCACAGGGAGAGTGAGAGAGAGAATCTTAAGGAGGTTCCATATTCAGCATGGAGCCCAACATGGGGCTCAATCCCACAACCCTGAATTCATGACCTGGGCTAAAACCAAGAGTCAGATGCTCAACTGACTGAACCACCCAGGTGCCCCTATTTGGCAATTTTTGATTAAAATAAATTGAAAAATATTTTTTTATCTGCAAGAGAATACTGGTTGCTTATTTCAATTTTATTTATGTTTCTTAATTTCAAAACACTAAATTTTAGGTAATTTTAGTTCAAGGGAGAATAATTAGTAAATAAAACAACTTCTGTTTTTAGCTGCTCTTTGGTTTGATCTTTTTACTTTTTTATTTTCTTAATAACTTATTTTTGTTTTTTATTATTTTTTAAGTATTCTCTATATCCACTGTGGGGCTTGAACTTACAGCCTTGAGACCCGGAGCCACGTGCTCTACCAACTAAGCCAGCCAGGTGCCCTGCCTTTTGTATTTTGAACCATGTGCCAAGGCTGTTACTTTTTTTAATAAATTCGTCTTTTGGATTATATGTTAAACATTCTCAGGGAGTTACATAAGAATTATCATAGAATTAAAATTTAGGTAATAAATAAAACATTAAAAAATTTTTTTTTTAAAGAATTCAAATTTAGGTCAACCAAACTGTAAACTTTATGAGGCAGGGGTTCTTGTCTATTTTGTTACCCATTTTATCTCCAGTGCCTGGCAGAGGTGCTCAGTAAATATCGATTGTTTAGTGGATGCAAATAACATGCAAATCAAGATAATACAACTTTACTGATAATTGTAATTAAAGGATAAAGAGGCTAGATTTCGCAGCATGCAATATAATTCTAATTTATAGGGGTGCCTGGGTGGTTCAGTCAGGCATCTGACTTTGGCTCAGGTCATGATCTCACGGTGAGTTCAAGCCCCCCCCCCCCCCCCCCCCCCGGGCTTGCTGCTGTCAGTGCAGAGCCTGCTTCAGATCCTCTGTTCCACTCTCTCTCAGCCCTTCTCCCACTCACACCCCCCTTTCTCTCACAAAAATGAATAGACATCTAAAAAAATTCTAATTTATACTTAAATAATAACAAAGTTAACTACTCACAGGTCGGCTCTAACATATATAATTTCCATGTTTCTTTAAGCTTTTTGTTCACATATCCATCTTATTTTTCCTATTTAATAATTGGAATCATAGATGGAAACAATGTTAAATTCTGCTTTTTTTCATCTAGCACATCATTAACCGAGTGCTCTGTTAAGTAGCCTTGGTAATCATTACATTAACAGATGTATAATAGTGGCAGTATTATTTTTAAATAGGTATTTTAAATGCATACAGCGATCAGAATTTTAAGAGTTGGGAGTATCCTTTAAATTATGCTTCATTCGGGGGCACCTGGTGGCTCAGTTGGTTAAGTGTCTGACTTTGGCCCAGATCATGAGCTCACAGTTTGTGAGCATCAGGCTGTGTGCTGACAGCTCGAAGCATGGTGCCTGCTTCAGATTCTGTGTCTCCCTCTCTCTCTACCCCTTTCCCGCTCGTGCTCTATCTCTTTGTCTCTCTAAAATAAACATTAAATTATGCTTCATTCAGATGTGGGCAGAATTAAGAGCTGTGTTTTCTGGAAAGTTGTTTAACTTTGTCCTGTTGTTTTTTGTTATGTTAAGATTAGTTACACTATAAGCTATTGATATAAATGTGACTCATGTTAGAAAAAAATTGCTTACGTTTTCTGTAACATTTTTTGTAGCTCTGGTATTATGGGGAAAATTTATTTATCCTACATGGAAAATTTCTTACTGTGATTCCATACAAGTGTGAAGTGTCTTCATTAGCGGGTGCTCTTGGAAAACTCAAGCACAGTCAAGATCCAGGTAGGAGCTCTTTTTTTTTTTTTTTTTAAGTTACCTCTGTGCCTAATGTGGGGTTTGAACTTGCAGCTCCAAGATCAAGAGTCACATGCTGTGCCAACTGCACCAGCCAGGCACCCCAGGACCTTCTCTTTTTCTTATTAATATAAACCATTTTATTATTAATTTCCAGTTGGATGTAGATTTCTACAACCATCAGTTTACAGAGTCCGTTTTTGATGTTGAAATTTACCATTGTTCATTGAAATTCCTTGACCCAAGTATCTACCTTGGGAACAGTCCACATTGCAGGTCTGGTGTAGGCTGAAGAGCTACACTGTTTTGAACACCAGTGTTCTGACTGAGGGGCGTTAGGAGAGTCCCCCGGATGAAGTCATTAGTTGCTTTGTCCTCTCGTGTTTCCCAGCCGTCTCGTCTGTTGGCCTAATGTTTCTGGACAAGTAGCCTTTCACTGTATCATGACCTCCTGATGTGGGGTTATCAGTAGAATTCAGTGGTCTTTCAAGCCTCTCTTGAGTTGTGCATGAATGGGTTTTGTTGTTCTTTGGTTGTCTGGCTAAATACAAATAGGTCCAAAAGAGTCCAGAAATTGTATATTTTGTGTATTCTTTTTTTTTTTTTTAATGTTTTATTTATTTCTGAGAGAGAAACCACGTGAGCAGGGGAGGGTCAGAGAGAGAGGGAGATACAGAATCTGAAGCAAGCTCCAGGCTCTGAGCTGTCAGCACAGAGCCCGATGTGGGGCTCGAACCCACAAACCGTGAGATCATGACCAGAGCCAAAGTCCGATGCTTAACCAACTGAGCTACCCAGGCTCCCCATATACTTTGTGTTTTCTTAGGCACTCACACTGCACCTCATTTTGTAAACTGGGAGACATCCCGGGGATATGGATTTGGATCCCAGAACCTCGAGCAGTCGAAGAGAATTGTAAGTTTGGTGGTTGAAACAGAAATATTATTGCGGGTGGAGGGAGGGGGGGAGATTACTTGAAAATAAGATCTTAAAGAAAAAACGTTCTCCAGAAATGTTAGTGCAAATATTTTAAAAAAGAGAAAGGTGGAATTAATAATTCACATTTGCACAACTCTTACGGCTTTGATCTTAATGACAAGGAAGTCTGAATTGTGAACCCAGTAACCTGACAGCCTTTATCCAAAATGACAAGTGTAGGTTATCATTTAATTTTCATGGGCATATGTGTATGTCTAAGACACAGGTGTGAAAATGGACAGTTTGCAATTAGTAATAATACCTTACTGAGTATAGTGATTTGTGTGTGTGTGTTTAAAAAACAAAAATTTTAAGGTATTTAAGTTACTTTAAACCCACTCTTCACTGTAACAAAAGTAAAATGTTTTGAAAAGCTTGTGGTGAGAGCATGAAGTGTGCTATTCTAGTCTCTTTAGGACATTTTATAAATTCTTCTAAATATATGTTGGATCTCTTGCATTGTTTTGAGATCCTAATGAATTTATTTAATTCCAGTTAAGGAGGAGAAAAATTGAAGTGAGTGTACAGCCTCCAGCTTCCAAGCAACTTCTATCAATGATAAAGGTAAATAAAACCTTAGAAATATGAAAAATCAACCCAAGTGGTAAAAGAAATCCCATCTGCTTTTTTGTTCTAGTTTTTCTGATCATTGTTTTGTATCTGCAGCTAATATCTGTATGGTAGGTTAAGGCTGTCAGAGCTTTCTAATATTTTGGCTTATTTGACTCTTACTAAGCGTTTTGTGAGATCAGTGTAGTGGTGGTGGCCTCATCAGTATCTCTCTAACCTGTGCATTGAATACATTTGTAACTTAGCCTCTTAAAGAATTTGATTTCTAAACCCTGGAATCTTTTTGTTTTGTTTTGTTTTTTGTTTTGTTTTGTTTTAGTTTGTCTTTGTGCAGCATATTGTATCCACTCCTAGTTTTACAGGAATGCATGAATGTTGTCAAGTGACTTAAGAAAATGTTGAGCTGGGAATTTTTAAGTTCAGAGTGACATTTATTAATGTACCAGACTGAACTCTGTTACTTCTGCCCTTTCAGAAAGATTCAGAAAAACACATCGAAGTAGAACTATGTAAGTTTTTGGCTATTAAGCGGACACCTGACTTTCATACTGTTATTGGGGACATAGTGTTCGAACTTCTGGAACGACATAAAGCAGAGCCGCCATTTTATCCCCGGAACTCTCTGGTGCAGCTTATCCAGACACACGTGCTCTCTTACAGGTAAATGTTTCCATGTCCCCCACTTCGCGTGTGTAACCCTTGTGACCTTGTTGTTCATAGTTCTGATACTCATACTCTAAAAAAGCTTATCCATTATTTGCAGTTGAGAGTTTTCTTGCTGTACAAAAATGGCTCATGGTTTTTTGTCCCAGCTTGTGCCCCGGCCTGATGGAGGTTGCCTTGGAAAAGACAGATGTGCAGATGTTACAGCTGTGCCTACAGCAGTTCCCGGACATTCCCGAATCGATCACCTGCGCTTGCTTAAAAGTTTTCTTAAGGTAAGTTAGAAGGTGATTGATGGTCCCTTCTCTTCACTGCATCTTTTAATCTTGTGTGGTCCTTGATTTCTACAACTTCCAGGGCTTACAAAATGAACCTTTTTCTAGTAAGTTCATGCAGCGATAAGAATTAATTTCTCACTTTCAATTAACACAACAGCATTAGTGATGACAGTCTTCGGGAAACAGAAATCAATATGGAATCAGTTTCTGACTACAGTGATTCTGTACAAGAGGAAAAAATGGACGAGCAAACGGGAATTCTTCAAAACGGTTTCAATCTTGACGAACGAAACTGTGATAACTGTGATCGGAAGTTAAACCAAAAGCCTCAGGCCGCAGCTGAGGAGACGGCCTCGTGCCCTGTGACCCCGAAGAGAGCAGCGCTGCTGTATCCTTTGAAACCCTCTCCCCCGTATTGACCCTTCCCACAGTTCCAGTCCCAGACCAGGCAGTACCCAAGGAGTAATTAGATCAGTTCAGGTGCTTTTTGTTTTCTTTTTTCCATTTTTTTCAGTTTCTGCCTGAACGTGGAATACATTTAGTACTATATTCAAATAACTGACTTAAACCTGTTTCCTTTAAGAAGCCATATGAAGGCAGAAGCTCTGTCAATTCTAAAAATCAGTCTTTTGAATAGATACCAGTTAGACTAGTGAAGTATTCCAGGTGACCTGTTGTGATGAGGAGGAAGTTCAGTGACAGAGCTCTTCCAGAAAAGTAAAACTTTCATATAAATTTAGAAAAGATCTCATTGGGGCAGGGAGTTACTCATCATTTCAGTAGAAAAGGCTTTATTTATTGAAACAGGGTTTTCCTTTAGTCCTGAGTAGAAATGCAATTCTTCATTCAGCTTATAGTGAAATGTTTCTTCTGCCGCACTTGAAGGACATCCCTGCACAACATGTTACTGTAAGTGTTCATGGTCATCCTATAGAATTTTGTATTCTGTACGTGTTACTGCTTAACTGGCCGACTTGAGGGCATTTGAAAGTTTATCCGGTTCCTTCATGTGAATAAGAGGCTTCCCAGCCCCTGTGGTACAAAATAAATTGTGCCTAGGAGATGAGTGCGTAGGAGTGGCAGACGTTGGCATGCTTGGTGCCAAGCCTGAAGGCCAGGTTAACCTATTTGTGTTAAAACCAAGTGCCTGGCTGGCTGTCCCTCAGCGGAGCATATGACACTTGATCTCGGGGTTGTAAGTTTGAGCCTCATGTTGGGTGTAGAGCTTACTTTTAAACAAATACTAAAAAAAGCAAAAACAAAACCCTAAACCCAGAAACTAAAAAGAATTGCCCAGAGATGGATGCTTTCTTTTCTCCTTACTGTTTACACACAGGATAATCTCTGCAGCTACCCTTCCCGAACCAGATGAACTCCCCATTTGATGGCAAAGACTGTTTTATTCTTGTGTCCCCAGATGTCTAGCATATTTGTCTGATGTGTAATTAAATTCAGTGGCTTCTTAAAATTCTTCAGTCTCTTTGTTGGCTTTCTAGACAAGATTTTTCTATCAAAGTGATACATTGTCCTTTTTCTTCCTACCCAGCTATTTCTCCAGTATCTGTATTTCCTTTATCTGAAGTGTAATGAAAATGCTACTATGACTCTTCCTGGACTGCACCCTCCAACCTTGAACCAGGTAAGTTCATCCTTTTTTTAATGTATTTTTTTAACTTCTTAGTTTTTATTTTAATTCCAGTATAGTTAACGTACAGTATTATATTCCAGATGTACAATACAGTGATTCTGCGATTCTGTGCATTACTGCGTGCTCATCATAGTGCACTCTTAATCCCCTTCGCCTGTTTCCCCATCTCCCCACCCACCTCCACTCTGGTAACGAGCAGTTTGTACTCCATAGTTAAGAGTCTGTAGGGGCGCCTGGGTGGCTTAGTCGGTTAAGCGTCCGACTTTCGCTTAGGTCATGATCTCGCAGTTTGTGGGTTCGAGCCCCGCGTCGGGCTCTGTGCTGACTGCCAGCTCGGAGCCTGGAGCCTGTTTCAGTCTGTCACTCCCTCTCTCTCTCTGACCCTCCCCTGCTCACGCTGTCTCTCTCTCTCCTGGAAATAAAACATTAAAAAAAATTTAAAAAAAAAAAAAAAAAAAGAGTCTGTTTATTTGTTTTATAAATTCCATATTTGAGTGAAATAGTGTGGTATTTGTCCTTCTCTGACTTATTTCACTGAGCATTATACTCTCTAGCCCCATCCATGTATTGCAAATAGCAACTTTTCATTTTTTTTAATGTTTATTTATTTATGAGAGAGAAAGTGCAGCAAGTGGGGGTAGAGGCCAAGGTGGGAGGGGGGGTAGAGAATCCCAAGCAGGCTCCACACTCAGTGCAGAGCCAGATGCAGGGCTCGATCTCACAAACCATGAGATCATGACTTGAGCTGAGATCCAGAGTCAGATAGTTAACTGAGCCACCCAGGTGCCCCTTAATTTCATTCGTTTTAATGGCTGAGTAATATTCTATTATACAAATACACACTCCACATCTTCTTTATCCATTTATGTATCAATGGACATGTGCAGTGCTTTTATAATTTGACTGTTGTAAATAATGCAGCAGTAAACATAGGGGCGAGATAATCTTTTTGATTAGATCTGGTGCTAGCAAAAGTCTATAAAAAAAATTGTGTTATATATATGATAGTATCAGAACTTGGAATTCAGTAACTGATCTCTCTTTGTCTCCTAGTCCATGTGAACTTCCTCTCTCACATCACATATGCAAACCACTGGAGTGAGAGGTGGGGGGCATCTCTCAATTTGGGGTCAAAATTCTATAATAAAGAATAAATACATCCTAAATTCTTGATTCTTTATTGTGACCCTTTTCAAGAATTTCCTTACCTCTTGGGAGATGGTGATAAGTGTCCAAATCTCTTTAAGAGAATAAAGATTAATGAAAAACATGTTCTTAGAGAATCTCATGGTACTCTTTAAATACAGTATTTATTTGAGAAGTAATTTAAACATTAAAACATTTATTGTCGTTAGGAATCCCGGGCTGGCTGAGTCAGTAGAGTATGCAACTGTCAATCTTGGGGTTGTGAGTTTGAGCCCCATGTTGTGTGTAGAAATTACTTTAAAAAAAAAAAAGGTTCTTGTGGTTTTGGTTTAAGAATATGTTATTCTAAGTAAGCATTTCAAACACTTAATTTGACTACTTTCATTTTTTAAAATAAAGTTTTGTTAAGTAGTTAATTTTTATGTTTAATTTTGTAAGTGTTTTTATTTATTTTTGAGAGAGAGAAAAACAGAGCGCAAGCAGGGGAGAGGCAAAGAAAGAGGGAGACACAGAATCTGAAGCAGCCTCCAGGCTCTGAGCTTTCACCAGAGAGCCCCATGTAGGGCTCAAACCCACGAACCATGAGATCATGACCTGAGCCGAAGTTGGATGCTTAACGGACTGAGCCACCCAGGTGCTCCTAAGAAGTTAATTTTTATAGTAAAAAATTCAAACAATACCAAAGGTTGCTTTTCCACTCCCATTGTCCCTCTTAGGGATAACCAATATTAAGAGTTTCCTTTGGGACACCTTGATGGCTCAGGCAATGGAGCATGCATTTCTCAATCTCAGGGTTGTTAAGTTTGAGCATGTTGGATGAAGAGATTAAGTTAATTTAGGAAAAAGGTTTCTTTTATATCTCGAAACTTTCTCTCTATATACTAACTTGTCTTTCTGACAGAAATTAGGTCACAGAATGCATGCTATTTGCAGTTTGCTTTTTTCATTCAGCCCTGAGTTGTAGACATTTTTTTAAAAAAAATTTTAATGTTTTATTTATTTCTGAGAGAGACAGTGTGAGCAGGAGAGGGTCAGAGAGAGAGGGAGACACAGAATCGAAGCAGGCTCCAGGCTCTGAACTAGCTGTCCGCACAGAGCCCAACACGGGGCTCGAACCCACAAACCATAAGATCATGACCTGAGCCGAAGTCGGATGCTTAACCGACTGAGCCACCCAGGCACCCCAAGTTTTATACATTTTCTGAACCAATCAACATACATCTGCCTCATTTCTTTTTTTTCTTTTCTTTAATTTAATTTAAAAAACTTTTAAGTAATCTCTACACCCAACCAGAGACTCAAACTCACTTTTAGATCAGGAATTATATGCTTTGCTGACTGAGCCAGCCAGGTACTCCCTGCCTCATTCTTTTTAACCACTGCATACTCTTTCATTTTATGGAGTCTTAATTTACATTAGTCCCCTACCAATTTGCATTTAAGTTGTTTACAGTTTTTTGTTTTTTTCTTTTTTTTTTTTTTTTTTTACTATTGGAAACAAACCTTCAGTGAACATCTTTATACAGATAATTTTTTTTTTTTTTTTAATTTTGAAAATGTTTTTATTTTGAGAGAGAGAGTGCTAGCAAGCAAGGGAGGGGCAGAGAGACAGGGAGAGAGTCCCAAACAGGCTCCAGTGTGGGGCTCAGACTCCGGAACCATGAGATCATGACCTGAGCTGAAATCAGGAGTTGGCTGCATAACTAGTTGAGCCATGCAGGCCACCTCTTTTTTTTTTTTTTTTTTTTTTTTTTAAAGTAATCTCTATATCCAATCTGGGGCTCAAACTCAAAACCCTAAGATCAAGAGCCACATGCCCTACTGTCTGAGCCAGCCAGATGCCCCTGTACAGATACCTAAAATACAATTCTAAGGAAACACCTGTGGGGTAAATTCCCATGAGTGAAATTACTGGATAAAGGTACATGCAGGGTTTTTTTTTTAGTTTACTTTTTTGTTTTTTAGATAATCTCTCCTCCTCTCCTTTTTCTCCTTATTAAGTAATCTCTACACCTGGCATTGAACTCACAACTCGGAGTTATGTGCTCTAATGACTGAGCCAGCCAGATGCCCTGTATTTTTAGTTTTCAGAATGCCAGCACCTTTCTGAGGGTTTGGGACCTTCTTCCTATTTATATTTCCTTTCGTGAACTCTCAGGTTGGGTTCTTCATCCAGTTTTCTATTGCATTTTCTGTCTTTTTCATTTTGGCTCATAAAAAATTCTCTGTATATTAGGAAATTTAGCCTTTTTCTATGGAGTGTATTATAAGTACTTTTTTCTTCTCACTTTTTTACTTTATCAGTGTAATTTTTGTAATAGATAAGTTTTTTATTTTAAAGTTTTAATTTTTTAAATCATTAAGCTTTTCCTTTTTGGCTTCTTTATGGATAGATCATGCTTAAGGCCCTTCCAACTCAGAGTATAGAACCACTCTTTCTTTTCTTAGTACATCATGGTTTCCTTTAATGTGTTTAATTCCTTGATAATACATAAAAAAAATTTTTATTTTGGTGTAAGGAGTTTCATAGGGATCAGCGTTTCCTTCTCCACCCAAATGGGTAGTCAGTTTCATTAATGCTTTTTCAGGACAAGTGATATTGCGTGTTAACTACACTATCTGAAGATGTCAAACTATGTAGAATGCTTTAATAAATGTATAGTAAGAACTGTGTTTTAGTTCATTGTAGTAGTTCATCTTTAATACACCACACACACTATTCTTGGGGCATAGTATATATTTTATAGTTTAAGATTTTATTTTTAAGTAATCTCAACACCCAACGTGGGGCTTGAGCCCACAATGCTGAGATCGAGAGTCCCCATGCTCCACTGACTGAGCCAGCCAGTGGCCCTGATTAAAAAAAAATTATTTTTTTTAATAAAAAGCCATGTACTAATGCTCTCTTGGACTTAATCACTCTGGCTTTCTATCTACAGATTAATGCTGTGAAAAAGATTGAGTTATACTTGTAAAATAACAAGTGTAAAGCAAGGAAGAGCATTTTTATATTGTTGAGAAATTCTTCCATTTCTAAAATTAAATGCTTAGATTTTTGTAAAGAAGACTAACTTTTCTCATAACTGTTGGATATAATTGTGGACTTTCTAAAATGAATTAACCTAAAATTAAATTTAAAATCTTAACTTTCCTTTTCCTGTTTATCTTCAGATTATGGATTGGATATGCCTCCTTCTGGATGCTAACTTTACCGTTGTGGTAATGATACCAGAAGCAAAAAGGCTACTGTTAAGTCTTTACAAGTTTGTGAAATCCCAGGTGTGTGATTATTTGATTCGTACTGAATTCCGTGTGTACCCAAGTATCACTTACATTCTGATTTATTCTTAATGTTTTTATCTTGGAATAAGTTATAAGTAATCACAGGGGATTTGTCTGTGTGTAGACGTTATGGTAAAAGTTACTCTGAAACATTTTTCTTTAGATATGCATTTGTTCCGAGCTCAACAAGATTGAAGTAAGTTTCCGTGAGCTGCAGAAACTAAATCAAGAAAAGAATAATAGAGAATTATATTCAATTGAAGTGCTGGAACTCTTCTGATATTACCGAGTCTCCTTCATGGATGTTTTATGAAGCTCTTTTATGTGACTTCTTAACTACTCTTCCAGGCAAGAGATGCGTTTTGTTTGTACTGTCTTCGTGAGCAGAGAAATGAGTCGGCTGCACCGTCCCTCTTTCCTTCTTCTAGGTTGGACTCTGGGTTTCACGTGAACCTCTTTTAGTTCATGGACATTGGTGGGGAGAGGTTCTGAAACTTTTTTTAAATATGTAACTGAGCTGATTTTAAGTAAACTTATTTGTGTATTGATAAAAATCTAATTTCTTACCATGTGTTCTGGTTAGTCCTTTTAGTAAAAAAAAAAATCACCGCTGAGACAGTGATTCTAAGAAGAATGTAGTTTCATCAGAGTCAGAAGCTGTCGTAGCACCTCCGTGCTTGTGGGGGACCAAAGAGGTCAGTCCTATAAGCAGAGTGGACAAAGGTCTTTGTGCAGGCACATGCCTGTCTGTCTGCTGCTGTTTTCACCTGTCCTTTATCTGCTTCCGCTTACTTTCTTTATATGCCCGGGGCCAGGGTTGAACAGCACCTCTTTCTATTTACTGTGTCTCAGATCAACTTCATGAGGCGTTGGTAATTTAGGTTTTTGTATTATTAAATAGTAAAAAAAAAGTCTGTTCTGAAAATAGCTTTATAGGCTAGTTGACCATAGACTTTGCCATTTTAACTCTTTGGATTTAGTACAAATGAGAGGTTTTATGTAGATGAAGTGGATACTTTTGTTTCTTGAAAATAAACTCAAGATTTACCTTTGTTAAAAGTGAAATCATTCTTTCAGGTGATGAATTAAGATCTCTATAAATAACTTGAAACATTTATGAGCAATGAAAATCTCTGTGGAGTAAATCATTTTGAAATGTGTTTTAACTTGAAGATTTACAACATGTTAAAAACAATTCCTGTCCATTCTAGGGCACAAATATAAGTTCAAGTGTGATTGTAGAGCCCACAGTTACAGAATCCTGATTGCTTAACTTAAGTCGCACTAGAGAAAGGCTTCATTTTAGGTCAGGCATTCCGTGTGAACTTTAGTTACAACTGTGGCATTTAGTTACAACTGTGTGAACATCTGCCCGCAATTGTTCTTCATCTCTCTTTAATCCTCAAAGAAAAGAAATAACAAAGGTAACAGCAGCATATGTTAATTGTTATGGTCACTTTATATAATAGGACTTTTTGCTCAATTTAAAGTGATACAGTACTTCTCAGCAGAAATAGGAAATCCAGGTTTTCATAGTAGTTGAGTTTCTGGCTATGGTCCTTATAAAGTCTTTATTGTAAAGTTTAATAATGTGGTTTTAATATTATGGAAACTTTGCTGATGCTACATGCTACAAAATTAGGTTGCCCTCAGTCTAAGTCACTAAATTTAGAAATAAGGATATTATAAGGACGTGTAGAGACTTTTTTTAAATTGAAGTATAATTGACAGTAGACTCTTGTAGGCCGAGCCCTCCAAGGCCAGGATTATGTCTTCCCCTTTCTGCACACTGAACACGGGACCGCTGGCACATAGCGTTAATGGGTCTTTGTTCTTTTTAAAGTTTTTAATGTTTGTTTATTTTTTAGAGAGATAATGCGAGCAGGGGAGACACAGACAGAGAGGGAGACACAGAATCTGAAGCAGGCTCCACGCCCTGAGCCTTCAGCACAGAGCCTGACGCAGGGCTTGAACCCACAAACTGTGAGATCATGACCTGAGCCGAAGTCAGATGCTTAACCCGCTGAGCCACCCAGGTGCCCCTGAATAATGGTTCAGGTATCAATAATTCTGAGGGTTTGCAGTAGTTAATTTTTCTGGAAATTAAATCATCTGCGTTCACTACATATAGGCAGTGTACCTTTTGCCTTTATTCTTACTTTTCATAACCCTAAATTATATCTTGGATTTGTTTCTGATTACATACTACACTACAAAAATGAAGAGAGTTTTATAAACTTAAGTTCTTCAGCTAGGAAGCAATTTCCTTCTGTGAACTTAATGTTTTACGAGGGAAATGTGGACTAACAATTTATCATTAATACTTGAAATTAGACATTTGTTTGCCTTTTGTGTCTTTAGGTTTCTTTGTAAATATTTGGGGACTAAAATGGAGTCCATTCGGGATCATGTAGAACTCTTTCTAACTCACAACCCTGAGATCAAGAGTCACATGCTCTTCCGACTGAGCCGGCATGACACCTTCAGATCATGTATAGAACTTTAAAAACAATGTCTCAGTTGGTTAGGCATCCACCTCTTGATTTCTGCTCAGGTCATGATCTCATGGTTCATGAGATTGAGCCCCATGTTGGGCTTTGTGCTAACAGCACTGAGCCTGCTTGGGATTTTCTCTCTCTCTCTCTCTCTCTCTCTCTCCCCCCCCCGCCCCGTTCCCTCCTCCTTTCCCCTCTCTCTCTCTCAAAATAAATTAACTTTAATGTGTTTTTGGGTTTTTTTTTATTTCTGAGAGAGAGAAGCATGAGCAGGGGAGGGTCAGAGAGAGAGGGAGACACAGAATCTGAAACAGGCTCCAGGCTCTGAGCTAGCTGTCAGCACAAAGCCTGACGTGGGGCTCGAACCCATGAACCGTGAGATCATGACCTGAGCCGAAGTCAGATGCTTAACTGAGCTACCCAGGCGCCCCTCAAAATAAATAAACTTAAAGAAAAGAGCTTTAGGGGTGTGTGGATGGCTTAGTTGGCTGAGTGTCCACCTTCTGCTCAGGTCATGATCTCACAATTTGAGAGTTCAATCCTCACATCGGGCTTGTTGCTGTCAGTGCAGAGCCTGCTTCAGATCTTCTGTCCCCCGTCTCCCTGTTCCTTCCTTGCTTGCACTGTCTCAAAAATAAATACATCTTTAAAAAAAAAGAAAAGAACTTTAAAACAAAGATGGATGTTTTGCCCCAACTCAAAAAAATTTTAATTCCAAAATAGTTATAAGAAAAGACAATGAACACCCATTTATTCTTGATCTAAATTTACCTACCGATAACATTTTGCCATGTTTGTTTTGCCACTCTCCTTCTTTTTTCTTTTTTGTAAGTTTTATTTATTTTGAGAGCAAGAGAGTGCGGGAGGAGCAGAGAGAGATTTCCAAGCAGGCTCCACACTGTCAGCCCAAAGCCTGACCCAGGGTTCAAACTCAAACCATGGGATCATGACCTGAGCTGAAACCAAGAGCCAGACACTTAACCAACTGAGCCACCAGGAGCCCCTATTTTTTTTCTTTTTTTTAATGACTCATTTGGGAGATTTTCAAACAACCAGATTAATACCATAATTCAGTTTAATTTCCTAAGTACATCAAGTTTAGTCCTCTAGAACAAGAGCATTATTTGACATGAACACAATGAAATGATCAGGTTCAAGAAATTAATATGGTGCTGTTTGGAATGACTATAGGCCTTATTCAGATTTCCACAGTTGTCTCAGTAATGTCTCCAATAACTGGACTTTTTCCTTCAAAGATCTTGCGCTGCATTTAGTTTTCATGTTCCTTGATTTCCCTAGATCGTGCAATTTTGAGGGATCTAGGCCAGTTATTTTGCACAGTGTCCCTCAATTTGGATTGATCTTGTTTTGCACGATTAAATTGAGAGTAAACAAGTTTGACAAGAAAGCTACAGAGAAGACATGGCATCAGGAAGCATTGATGTGACTTGTCCCATCACTGGTGATGTTAAACTGGATCACTTAGGTAGAGTTTACTAGATTGCTTCACTGGACCAGAGCACCCCTATCTTTTCCTTTGTTTTTTTTTTTTTTGTTTTTTTTTTTGTTTTAGAACAGGGAGCAAAGGAGGGCCAGAGAGAGGTTCCCTCTCTGTCCCAAGCAGGTTCCTCACTGTCAGCACAGAGCCTGACACAGGACTTGATCTCACAAACCGTGAGATCATAACCTAAGCCAAAACCAAGTGTCACATGCTGAACCGAGCCACCCAGGTGCCCCCATCTTTTCCCTTTGTAACCCCGTTAGTAACCTGTGTGTATATTTGAGACTGTGAAGCTCTTATTCTAGAATATTCTTCTCCAACAATGGTTTTCTAGCTCTATTGGTAATTTTTGCCTGAATCAGTAGTCACTTTGGTGGTTGTGATTGCAGATTGTAAGATTGTTTTGGCATAAATTTCACTTTAAACCAAATGCTGTGCCAGTAGCCCCCATTCTCATGTCTGCCGTCTGTTTTCTAATCTATAGATGGGTAGGCTGTTTCACAGATTTGAATGGTTATTATCACATTGAGCATACCATGTGTGATCTTATTTTTTCACTTAATATCTTCATTGAAAGCTATTTTTACCTAGTGACTGTGTTTTGATTCTTAAAAGTTTCAGACTCAGAAAACTATAGAACTGAAAAGGCTTACCGGTAATTTATTCCTAAATGATACGTGTCTCACATAGTTCCCCAGCTTTGTACTTAGCACAACTAAAGTATGATTTTGGATTATACCATCCCATGTCCTTAAATCATCATTATAGTTTTGGGATACTTAGAAGAATACCCAAATTAGTAGAATATTTGGAATGCTTCTGTTTGCTACAAATTTCTTAAGGAAAAATAATTAAATTCTGGACAACTTTTTTGAAGAGTAATCTTTTTTTTTTTAGTGTTTATTTTTGAGAGAGAGAACGTATGTGTCCAAGTTGGGGATGGGGGGGCAGAGGGAGGGGCTCTGCACTGACAGCAGCGAGACCAGTGTGGGGTACAAACTCATGGACCACAAGATCATGACCTGAGCTGGTCAGGTCAGATGCTCAACTGACTGAGCCACTTAGGCACCCGAAAAAGTCCTCATTTTAAATTACCTCCTCAGAACTTTTTGTCTCTTAAGAGAGCAGTGTACTGTTATTAAAGAGGTTTTGTGTGTGTGTGTGTGTGTGTATACGTATATACATATATAATTTTTTTTTAAGTAGGCTTCACATCCAGAATGGGGCTTGAACTCATAATCCCAAGTCAGGGGTCGTGTACTCTACCAACTAAGCCAGCCAGGCACCCCTAAAGTGGTTTTAACTAAATGTTGGGTCACCTGGGTGGTTCAGTGAGTTAAGCATCAGGCTCTTGATTTCAACTCCGTTCATGATCTGGTTCATACGTTCAAGCTTTAAATACATCTCAGATTCCAATTGCTATGCTATTCTGTGCTTATTTGCAGACTTAGAATATAAGAGTTTTATTTTTTAATTGTGTTTTAACCAGTAGGATAGATGTACAAGTGTATATTTGCCACTTAAGTTTATAATGTATAAATTAGTATATATTATTGTGTAGTACTTACCGTGTGCCAGCCACTGTCCTAAATGCATCCCCAAAATTAATTAATTTCATACTCTTAACTGCTTAACTAGCCCATGAAGTAGGATTTACTGTTAAGGAAATTGAGGGGAAAAAACACCAGTAAGATAACCTTCCAAGTACTCATAGCAAGTCACTATCAGGATTTGAATCCAGGGGCCGCCTGGGTGGCTTAGTCGGTTAAGCGTCCGACTTTCGCTTAGGTCATGATCTCACGGTTCGTGGGTTCAAGCCCCGCGTCAGGCTCTTTGCTGACTGCCAGCTCAGAGCCTGGAGCCTGTTTCAGAGTCTGTGACTCCCTCTCTCTGACCCTCCCCTCCTCACGCTGTCTCTCTCTTTCTCTCCTAGAAATAATAAAAAAAAAATTAAAAAAGAAAAAGGATTTGAATCCAGGCTCTCTAGCTATAGGCTGTTTGCTCTTTTTAAATTTTTAAAAATTTTAAGGGTGCCTGGATGGCTCAGTCGGTTGAGCG